TGACAATGACAGCACCTCGTTACGGGAGGTCATTCCCACTGTAACAGGCTATAGACAGCTCGCATATATCACAGGGATGGCGTGCAGGTATGGAAGAAATGACGCGCAGAACGTGAGCTTCTGTGTCCACCACCGCTGCCGTTGTTTGATTGTGACCGCTGATGGCAGCAGGGGACTCCGCCATTGTTGGTGCTACGGGAACTTTGACATGTCACCATTGCAAGGCCAGTGTCACACTGAGTGTTATGAGGTCACCAGGCCTAGTGTGGGCCTTACCCATAAATCGCCGCCAAGCCCGGCTGTGACGCCGTCCCGTGCCGCCCGGTAGACGAGGACCGGTACGGTCATGACGTGCTCGGCGAGACGCTGGTGATGTTGGACGGCCTGGTGGACGGCCGCCGTCAGCAATACAGCAGACTGCTGCTCCCCTCACCGGCAGCGGTAAGGCAGCGCCGGCGGGTCACGCCTGCGTCTCCAGGAGAGCTGGACACGACTCTGCGCCGTCTGCAGACGGAGCGTCACGGCTGCAGACGGAGCGTCACGGCTGCAGACGGAGCGTCACGGCTGCGAACGGAGCGTCACGACTGCAGACGGAGCGTGTCCAGGCGTCCGGGCTGAGGCTGGCAATCTGGGCTGACCCGAGTTGTCCAGGCAGTTTTCAACTTCCGAGATATCTGATCCGTTTGTGTCGATGAGTTGTCAGAACAGAAACAGTAAAAAGTCATAATTGAGCGTTCGCCGGAGGGAGGGATGGAGTGAACACTTAACACGGGGATTGTCTTGTTGTTCCTCATCGCGCAATTTAGAGCAGCGGGCAACACCGCAGAGGAGAACAGTTTCGTGTTCCACGTGAAGCACGCCGCATGTAAACAAATACTATAACGCTGCAAGGTGGGTGCGTATCCTTGTAGCTATTACAGTATTTGGAAAGGAGGTGTTCGTGAAAGCTCGAAAGAAGAAAGAAAGAATGTTCGTGAAAGGTCAAAAAAGTTTTTCGTGTCCTCCAGGCATTTCTGAGTCCGGGACGTAAAAGCACCCAGCCAAGGCCTTACAAGCTGCTTGCCAACGACGCATCGCGCCCACGCCACTTCGCTCTCAGAGGAGCCAGGATGGTCTGAGCTGAAACTAAATATATTCGATAGTTCAGCAAGCAAAGTATCAGTCATCTTGGCATCTTTAATTAAGATTCAGCTAGATTTCCACCACACCACCCTTCTGTCTCACAATAAAACTTGAAATCTGGCAAAATCTCACGCTAGCAAACTCTCAGCAAATAACTACGGGAGCCTGATAAAAAGTGCAGTCGGCGTCAAATGAAACCCCCGCGCTAGTAGACGGCATGGGTCAACCGTGCTTAGAAGGACCGCAGAGTAGAGCTGGGACATAGATACTAGGCTATCGGGTCATGGACTGAAGCGCATTCATGCAGCACGTGCAAGCCATACGTAAACCTACGTCGTACCTGTACGATTTGAAGCGTACAAGTGCGCGTCGGATGTGGTTGAGCCAGTCAAGAAGCAACATAATCATGCTTAAAGGCCATGACTCTTTCCCACACGTAGGCCAATTTAACCAGTATCACGGAAGCAGGCCTCGTGTAATGCCGCCGTTCCGTTTCGATGCATCTGATTTGCAGGTGCATTCCTGATCATTTGTGCTCATGCAGTGATTGGGTTCGACTTCGACCTCAAGCCAATACTCAAGCACATGGCTTGCCTCAAGTATGACCAGTAGAATCTGCTCATCATCGTGGCCGAGACCACATGGCGGCCTGATGAGTATACACATGACATTCATGCAGAGCTGGTATACCGTTGGGACCAGCAGGGTTGCCGAACGCCGTTTTGCGCGGGAATACGTGAGGACATTCACGTGGCACAGGGCTGCACTACCCAACAGCACGAGGTCGGCGAGTTTCGAATCGCTCTCGCATCTTACTTTGTTATCTAAAACGTTCAGATACTTGGGCGTGTGGCTGGCACAGCCTCGGTCTTCTGCACTTCCAACAGCCGGATCACTTATTCGCGACGCGACCGTCATCCAGGCACCTTCGCACAGGCCTGCCAGGTCACTTCCTCGTGAAACTGCCGCCATATCACGGCTGGCTTTCACGCGGCGATTTTCTAATTCCATCCCGGGATCGGTAACGTAACTCGCCGCCGAAAACGTTCCCAGATACGTCATAGAAAACGAATGTTCCCAGATAAACGTAAACTATGAGTTATCATGTCTGAGCGTTGTGTGGACTATAAGGCACTCGGCTTCGAAGTCAGTCGGTCCTGCAGGCGGATTATTGCGGTACATATGCCTAAACGCACCCTGTCAGAACAGCCGACAGGTAACATTCATGAGTCATGTTGCGCGACGGAAGCAGACCACATTGACCTAGTCAAATGAAATGGCGACAAATGGATGATGCGCATGCTTTTCTGCACGTCAGATAGGTACTTTGAGCGCAATATTTCGCATAGTTAATGGAAATGTTTTACATTTTAAGATGTCGAAGCAAGCACTGGATACGATGAAACGAGCTTACTTATAACTATTGGTATGCTTTAAAGTAGAAAAGACTGCTTTCATTTTCTCTGTTTAGTAAATGTGTTCTACAATAAGTCAGTGTGCAGTTACGTCATCGTCTCTTGCACAACACTGAATGGGAGCCAATTGACGGCCATTTCATCTGGGAATCGTGCTCACGAACGCCAGATATGAACGGCTCAACCACTATGTTTTTTCGTCCTTTTGTCGCCGCATGTCTCATTGAATACCAGGATTGAATGACGCTATCACGACGTCATGAATACTAAGTTGACCTATAAATACTTGCCCCGAAGAAGTCTCTCCATTTTCGCGGGCATGTAGCTCAGGAATTCGAGAGGTTTATGTCTTTATAATGGCAGGGCTGTGAAGCGCACCGGAAGGTCTTCAAGGTAGTTATTTCAGCTCTAAATCCCATACAAATGTGGGGCACTCCCTTTAACAGTTAGCTGCAGTCGTCCTATGACCAGAACGTACAATCTTCAGGCATCAAAACAAGAATCTTGAGAACTCAAACTCAGAACTCAAGCAATCTCAGACTTGATACTTTGGTAACTCGTGATGGAAAACCAGGGAACGGCTGACTTTCCAAACTCGTAGCACCCGGTGTTCCGCTGGAATTGCCGCAAGAACCTGGAAAATTCCAAGCACTGAACGAGATCTATTGGCAGTTCTCACCAGATTGGATTAAAACTGCGACATTACTTTCTGCACATTTAAAACCAAAGCCTCGATCATTCAGCACATAAGTTGGAAGCCTCTGATTGGTAGATAGAGTAAATCTTTGACAGAGTTAGTGGAGTGAATCTTTGGTTGGTAAATCTTTGCGAGTGTTCTTAGAGAAGTCTGAAGTTGTGCATCAATTGGATGGTTCAGCTCATTCACTCGGGGTAATCGGCGATGCGGCAGGCAGCTGCAACCATCTTGAAACAAACTCCAACTGCACGTGCACGGATTGTGAGTTTGTTCCTTTCACTTCAACATCTCTTTAGCTCCAACGAAGCTGCCAATTTTCCAAAATATCCATGGCTCGCCATATAGTGTTGTAACTTTGAAGTGAAGACATTTCATTTATTGTAGGAAACGTTTCTTATAAATAATGAACATTTTTGTATACAATTTCTTTCTGCCCATGGCAACCGAGTGTTTTTGATGACCCCACATTTAAAGCAGAGTTATCGCTTACTGGTGTTTCTAAGCCCGTCAGCTGCAAGATCTTGAAGGAGTAGCTCACAGACGTTATTCACTCCCAGCCATGCGTGCAGTTACACCTTCACCAGAAGTCCATTGCCCCTCTCTCAGGTGATAACACATCCACGATACTCCCGGCGTGGAGGTTCGCCCATTCCATTTACACTGAAGTCAGTAGTTACTCTCGGCGTCAATCATTACAGGAAGGGTAACCCATTTGATATACCCGTTACGCAGGGGTAAATTTTCTTCTTTACATTTGGGAAAGGAGTGAAATTTATTCACAGCATGGAGGTAAACCCATTATGCGTACCCCCCGTCCGTGAGTTAAAAACAACAGATGCTCCAGGCTTGAAACGTGGCCCTTTCTTTTGGCATTAACATCTGCTGCAAGGTCCTCGCCTGGTGCCATCAGCTCGATGGCGTACGATAGTACAACCTCATGCGAAAAAATTTATAGCTCAAAGGAGCAGGCTATTTACTAGGTATCGAAGCAGGCTATTTACAGATCTTGCTACGCTTTTGCTATTTGTGGCTCTTCTTACGGGAAACGGAAAACAAGATAACCTGCGGCAAACTAGAGGCTCATAAACAACATTGGTGCAGATGTCGTCAGGCCAGGTTATGTGTTTTCGCCTTTGTGCGCAAGACTATGTAATGAATGGCTGTTTGCACCCAGGAGAAATTGTATGTTTAATAGCTACGCATCAGCTCAGCATACATAAAGCTCTGCACTACCACACGAGTGAGAACAACTATTGCGTGGACGGGTGGCATCACACGTCATCCTTTCAGTGCTTTTATATAATTTGTTGGCGCCCAATTTGCCATACCAACACATCACAAAACAAGGTGTACTGATAAACTGCGTTTCCATTGCAATTAACCGTAGCTGAGACACTGAAACTTTGTAAAGACACGAAACTATGGCAACGATACAGCAGTTTTGCCCGGATTTCTCTTTGAAAATGTCTGGCGGCTGTAACATAGCTTAAGCACGAGTGTTCACCGCTAAACCCACCGCTGATCACCCACCGCCAACTCATGTGTACCAGACCGTAAGCAGCCTGCGTCAGCGAGGTGCACAGAGTAACCCGCACCCGGTGTATATAATATTCCTTTTACCACCGAGGAATTTGGGGAAACTTTGGGTTTGGCCACAACGTGACATACCCAACATGACCATACCCAGAACCCTATTCCTACATACCCATAACCCTATTGATTCAACAGGCAACTTCGACAAACTTCTCATGAGACAGTTCCTCAGCGAACATCGTATGCGACGCTCCCCACAAAAGGAGCTGGTCGCGCTCGTTGATCAGCTTGCAGATCTCTTCCCACTGGATCATAATGTTTCCACCTGTTAGGGTAGACGGTTGCCTGGGTGGAGGCGGACTGCACACCGCTCGAATTATCGGAATGCATGCGGGAGAAATTTCTGAGGATCTGGAGAGCAACCATAACAACATCGAAATTACACACCGGTCACTTGCATTTGTACCTCGGGAAGCATTTTTCTGTTGAACACACAGTTGGTAACAAACTACCATGGTTAACAAATTACTCATTTCATTACGTGCCTAATTGTTTTTTTAAGATTTAAATTGTTAAATTTGTGAAATTAAATATAAAATTTCAACTTGAATTAAGTACAAAAAACATTGAATTGAATGTTGAATTGAATATAAATATAAAATATTTAAGTTCTA